CCACATTCCTGAAAAGTACATGTTTTAAGTTTTTTGTTAAAATAGAAATAATAATATTATTTTTTTTGCAATTCTTTGGGTTATCTAGTGATAGAAATTTTGCATAACTGCAACTATTTTTCTTAAGTTAAAACCATTGCCTGCTACCGCTCTAGCTACATAAAATCATCAATATTATTGAATAAATTATATTCTTTACATTCCATTCTATCATTTGTATCAATCATTGTGTCAATACTACTATCAGTATGTAGCATATTGTCTAATCTACCCACCTTTTCAAGATCAATTAACTTGTCACTTCCAGGAATATGGTATATATAATTTCCATCTTCATCAGCAATGAAGATTTGTGGAACTGTTCTGACATTATACTCAGACTTTATTTTACTAAATAAGTTCGGATTTTTCATAACATCAATTTCTTTGTACTGAAAACCTTTTTGGTTTAGCAATTTTTTTGCTCTTGTGCAATATGGACAACCATGTTGTATATATATTACAATGTTTTTATTCATAATCCACCTACATTTATCCTAAATTTATGGTTATAATATAAAAAATATGCAAAAATATCAAATTATATGAATACAAATAAAGCAGGCATAGTAATTACTTTTGGAAACTTTGATGGTATTCACTTAGGACACAGATTTGCAATTTTTACTGTAAAACAGATATCACAAAAAATGGGTTTACCTTCTGCGGTGTTAACGTTTGAACCTCATCCATTATTTGTTTTATTTAATAAAAATCACTTTAAGTTGATAGATCAAGAGCATAAAGTTAGACTAATTAATAGTCATGGTATAGATTATTTATATGTCATTGGCTTTGATAAAGGTTTCTCTCAAATCAGCTGTGATGAGTTTGTAGGTGAGATTTTAGTAGGTAAGTACAATGCTAAACATATAGTTGTTGGAAAAAACTGTACTTTTGGTAATAAAAGGTTAGGTAACATATCAACACTCAGGAAATATACTGATGTATATGGGTATTCTCTGACTGAATTAGAACCATTGATGATTAATGATAAAATTTGTTCTTCTTCTCTGATTAGAGAATATCTACAAAGTGGAGCGTTAGAAGTTGCTAATAGCTTGCTTGGTATGCCATACCAAATTTCTGGCGTAGTGATCAAGGGTGCTTGTAGAGGCAGAAAAATAGGATTTCCAACTATAAATATACCTATAGAAGATTGCATGATAAAAGTAAAATTTGGTACATACTATGCAAAAATAGCATTTTCTAATTATGACCAAAATTGGCTATATGGAGTAGTTAACATTGGTATGAGTAAAGGTTTATTGCTGTTCTTTATTAATATCTTATGCATTTAATTATTGTATTCCTGAAAAGTACATATTTTAAGTTTTTTATTAAAATAGAAATAATAATATTATTTTTTGCAATTCTTTGGATAATTTAGTAATAGAAATTTCGCATAACTGCTGACCATTTTTTTAAGTTAACACCATTGCCTGCTACTGCTTCAGCTATATTAAATCATCAACATTGTTGTTTAGTAAGCCACATTCTCCATGCTCTGTGCTGTTATCTGCACCAGCTATTATATCAGTATCATTACCATAATGTAGCATCGCATCTAATTTTCCTGTATTTTCAAGGTCAATTAACTTATCACTTCCAGCAATGTGGTATATATAATTTCCATCTTCGTCAACAATGAAAATTTGTGGAACTGTTCTGACATTATATTCAGACTTTATTTGACTAAATAAATCCGGATTTTTTATAACATCAATTTCTTTGTACTGAAAACCCTTTTGGTTTAACAATTTTTTTGCTCTTGTGCAGTATGGACAACCATGTTTTATATATATTACAATGTTTTTATTCATAATCTACCTACATTTATCCTAAGTTTATGGTTATAATATAAAAAATATGCAAAAATATCAAATTATATGAATACACATAAAGCAGGCATAGTAATCACTTTTGGAAATTTTGATGGTATTCATTTAGGACACAGGTTTGCAATTTTTACTGTAAAACAGATGTCACAAAAAATGGGTTTACCTTCCGCAGTGTTAACGTTTGAACCTCATCCATCATCTGTTTTATTTAATAAAAATCACTTTAAATTGATAGATCAAGAGCACAAAGCTAGGCTAATTAGTAGTCATGGTATAGATTATTTATATATCATTGGCTTTGATAAAGGTTTCTCTCAAATCAGCTGTGATGAATTTATAGGTGAGATTTTAGTAGATAAGTACAATGTTAAACATATAGTTGTTGGAAAAAATTGTACTTTTGGTAATAAAAGGTTAGGTAACATATCAACCCTCAGGAAATATTCTGATGTATATGGGTATTCTTTAACCGAATTAGAGCCATTGATGATTGATGATAAAATTTGCTCTTCTTCGTTAATTAGAGAATATCTACAGAGTGGAGAGTTAGAAGCTGCTAATAGGTTACTTGGTATGCCCTACCAAATTTCTGGTGTAGTGATAAAAGGTGCTTGTAGGGGCAGAAAGATAGGGTTTCCAACTATCAATATCCCTATAGAAGATTGCATGATAAAAGTAAAATTTGGTACATACTATGCAAAAATAGCATTTTCTAATTATGGCCAAGATTGGCTATATGGAGTAGTTAACATTGGCATGAGGCCAACGTTTAAGGATTTAAAAAAACCTATAATAGAAATGCATATATTTGATTTTAACAAAGATTTATATGATCATAAGGTCAAGATACAGCTTTTACAATTTATAAGATCAGAAAAAAAATTCCATAGTATTGATGAGTTAAAAGAACAGATAAATTATGATATAATGAAAGCTTGTAAATTAAAAACAAACCTATGAGAAAGTTATATTTAATCATTATGGTAATTGCAGCACTTACCGATCAAGCAAGTAAACTATATATTAATTCATTAATTGATGAAGAAGGATATATTGAGATTTCTAGTTTCATACGATTAGTTGAAGTTTGGAATTCAGGCATTAGCTTTGGATTATTTAGTAACTTGCCATACAAAGGTTTCATATTCTCAATGCTTGCAATCCTGATAATTATTGTGCTTATATGCCTACTATACAAATCACAAGATAAATTAACTTGTTTAGGTTTTTCCTTGATGATTGGCGGAGCCATTGGAAATGTAGTTGATAGGATATACTGGAAAGCTGTATATGACTTTATATATTTTCACATCGGTGATTGGTACTGGCCGGCTTTTAATTTGGCAGATTTATATGTGATTTGTGGAATATTTGTGCTTTTATATAAATGGTATATATATGACATTTTTATTTCCAAGCGAAACAGTGAATAAAAATTGCTTATTAGTAAGTATTAGGTATAATTAATAATTGCCTTGCTAGTTATATAGAGTGTCATAATGTTTTATAAGTTTTTTAGCTTTTCTTTATTGGTTACATTTTTTTTTAGTTATCCAGTTTTCTCAGGACAATTAAACATAAAAAAAGACATCAATGTTCAGCACGCCAAATTAAAAAATGGTTTGGATGTTTATGTTGTACCTAATCACCGCATTCCAGCTGTATTACACTCAGTAATATACAAGGTNACTTTATATATTTTCATATCGGTGATTGGTATTGGCCGGCTTTTAATTTGGCAGATTTATATGTGGTTTGTGGAATATTTATGCTTTTATATAAATGGTATATATATGATATTTTTATTTCTAAGCGAAGCAGCGAGTAATAATTACTTATTGGTAAGTAATAGGTACTATTAATAATAGCCTTGCTAGTTATATAGAGTTTCGTAATGTTTTATAAGTTTATTAGCTTTTCTTTATTGTTTATATTTTTGAGTTATTCTGCTTTCTCAGGACAATTAAACATAAAAAGACATCGATGTTTTACGCTAAATTAAAAATGGGTTGGATACTTATATTGTGTCTAATTACCGCATTCCAGCTGTATTACACTTAGTAATATACAGATTGGTGGGATGGATGATCCAATTTAAAGTAGGATTGGCTCACTACTTTGAGTATTTAATGTTTAAAACTATAGGGAAGTTTAAAAATATAGAATCTACTATGGGTGGCATAGGAGCTAGGTTCAATGTATTTACTACGAGTGGATATACTTGTTATCATGAGTTAATGCTTAAAAGGATTTATCATTAGCTATGGAAATTGAAGCAGATAGAATGGTTAGTTTTAATGTTAGTCGTGATAAAATAGAGAGAGAAAATATTGTATTAAAAGAAAGGAAGATATTGATTGATAATCAACCTATCGCTTTATTGCGGGAAGAAATGAATAATGCATTTTATCGCACGGGATACGGCAACCAATTGCTGTATGGGATGTAGATATCAATACTTTTAACCATGGTGATATAGAAAAATTTCATGGTAATTATTATCATCCTAGCAATGCAATGCTACTTATTGTAGGAGATGTAGAATTTAATGAAGTATTAGAACTTGCAAAGAAAAATATTGTGCTATTAAATCTAAACCTGTTGTTAGGTACTATCCAAATCAAGAGCCAGCGCATAATTCTAGCATGGAATTAACCGTTAGAAGTCCTCATATAAAAGCCAGTACTATATTTCGCTACAAAGTGTCTGCTTTAAAACACAGAGACGAGATTTTTACTGTTAATTTAGTAGTTAACTTATTGGAAGGGGAGAATCCAGTAAGTTATACAAAGATCTAGTGTCAGATAAAGATATTGCAGTTTTAGTAGGTGCATATTATTATGGCATGGCTTTTAATGATAGGTTTGTAGACATTAGTCTAATTCCAAAAAGCGGGGTTACTTTAGACATAGTAGAAAAGGAATTAGAGAATTCTATAGATAGGTTTCTACATGAAAAAATAACAGATAAAGAGCTAGAAAGTGCAAAGTATAGGACAAAGAGCACAATTTGATAACTTATCTGATTTAACCTCTATTGCAAGTTTCTATGCTGAGCGTTTAGTATTAAATATTCCCTTCACAGAAATAGATATCTCATCTAGCGAGGTATATAATATTAACTTAGAAGACATGAGGCTAAAATTCATACTATTATTCTGCTAATAAATTAATTGGTCGTTTATTATCTCAAGGAGATAGAAATAATTAGAATAAATAAAATTATACTGCTATCTTTTCTGTGCTTAAGCTTCAATTTATATACAAATAAAAACACCCAAGTAGAAGAGGTTAGAACTAAGGGGGATAAAATTTTATTTATTAAAATAACAACCTGCCAAAAGTTTCACTGAATATTGCATTTAGGGAGGCGAGTTATGCATATGAGAATGTGGAAAAATAGGGTCTTTCTTACTTTGCTTCCTTTATGATGCAAGAAGGATTAGGAAAATAATGCTAAAAATTTTGCTAAAATACTTGAGGACAAAGGGATGAAGTTAAATTTTCATGCTGGCTTAGAGAATTTTACAGTTTCATTAGATACTTTATCTGAAAATTTAAAAGAAGGGTGGGTTCACTGTTAAGCGATTCTATAATACGCCCTAGAGTTGATATTGAGGAGCTTAATAGAGTCTTAGAAATGCTCAAGGTTCAGTTAATTATCTTGAAAAATCCTCACTTCATTACTGTACAGGAATTAGATAAATTATTATTTAAGAAACACCCTTACTCGAAAAGTCATTTTGGAACTATGAACACTATACAAAACATCATCAGAGATGATATTTTAACTTATATAAAACGTAATTTTACCAAGAAAAACATGAGCATAAGTGTTATGGGCTACGTAACAAAGGAGGGAATAACTAAGCTATAGATAAATATTTATCAAAATTGCCATCGAGAAGATCAAAAGTAAAAAAATACCTATAAAAGACAACTTTAAACCAGCAGAAAGCTGCATATCTTTATGGATGTACCACAAGTTATATTTTTGCCCAAAAGGTATAGTGTATGATGATCCTAGTTATTATAATGCCATAATACATTAGGTAAAATGGGTTTTAATTCAGTATTAATGCATGAACTAAGGCAAAACCTTGGCATTACTTACAAGATCAGTACAATCATTCCAAATAATAAACATGGAAGTATTATCACTGGATCTTTAAGAACTGATAGTTCTACTGCTAACAGAGCTATATTGGCAATAAAAGAAGTGTTAATAAGATTAAAAAGAAGGAATTGATGAACAGCTATTCCAAGATGCAAAAGTGTGTATAATAAACTCTTATATTTTTTCAATGTTTAATAATTATGACATAATTGCAAAGTTAGATAACATTCGGGCAAATGATCATGATATTAATCATATAAATAATTTTTCAAACTATATTAATGACGTGGAATTAGAAAATGTAAATGAATTAGCCAAATCTTTATTAGATACTGAAAATTTATTTTTTTGTGGAAGTTGGAAAATACCATCAAGATACGAACAACATTCAGAAATACACTTTAGGTGTATGGTCTATAAGAGCTGAAAGTATCGCAAAATAGTTATATAAGGTTGCTTGGAGTGTGTAAATTATCTCCTAGCAAAAAGCACTTGATATTAGTGCCTCCTTTTATATACAGCAACATCTCTTTTATCATTTTTTGATGATACTTTCAACGCTTATGGACTGTATACCTAGTACAGATTTAGAAAAAGAGTATTAATGCAGTTTTAACTAAAATAGTATAACATTAACTCAAATTTATTTGACGGCAATTATGCATTATGGAGGTAGAATGAAAAAATTCCTTTGCATTAGGCTACTGAAAATGGGCAGATAGATGAAGTGAAGGATCTATTAAAAATAGATGCATATATTAATGCTAGCGAATAGATTGTAATTCTATCCAATCAATACACTTCTT